AATCACAGAATCATTCTCTTAGATCTGCTTGCGAAATTTGAGCGATCCGCTGCATGGGACATCACCCTTACATGTAGCGCGGTAAGCGATAAGGGCCAGTGACAAATTCACATTACTAAGACTTGGTTGCACCAACGTTACTTTAATTTTAAGCGAGGCTTAGAACTCTCTTTGTTCCAGTCTCTTTTCGGTTTTAAAACGAGATAGAGAAAGTTTTAAGTCTTGCTTAGCCCGGATCTACAATAGATTTTTAATAAAAGTGGCTTCAAATTAAAAAATGTCAACAATAAGGAGCATTCAGCCACAACGCTAGATGTATTCAGCTATAGTCATATATTTAAAATTATAATTATATATAGACGTTTCGGTCAATATTTGACCATCTTCAGTACACACACACACAAATATAAAAGAGTTATTATAATAAACACAATTAGATAAAATCTCAGGTCCAAATGAAAAAGTTGATATACATATCGTCAGATGGGTTAACATTAATTACGAAATTACATGAAATACGCTGTGTTATACAATAAAAAGTGAATTTTAATTCGTATTTTCATGTTGGATTTCATAAGTTTAATACAATTTTTCAGTAAAAGACACGTTTGGACACCGAAATATAGTTTAATAAATTCGAAAAACGGTAACAAGCGACACATATTAATGCTCGTGTCAATAAACAAACGTTAATAATAGAAACGTCTATATATAATTATAATTTTAAATATATGACTATAGCTGAATACATCTAGCGTTGTGGCTAAATGCTCCTTATTGTTGATAATAGTCATTTTAGGTTGCCAACTATATACATTTGTTGCTAGAACTATATACATAGTTACTGTTATTATTATTATAGTAGTAATAATCATAATTACAGTAATATATAATTATGGTTACAAATACAAAACATTTTTCTCTCAGTGTAGGATTAAAATGGGAATTTATTTTCACGATGCAAGCAAGGTGCTGGCAAACGAAAGGTGTAAGCTCAGATTAATAGAGGTCGATTTCAGTATCGGAGATGGCAAATCGCGGTAATTAATATCGCCATTTGTTCCACGTCACGTGCATGCCTACGTGCGTACACACACATACACACACACACACACACACACACACACAATACAGACGCATACGCACGCGTACGATAGAGCGAGTATGCGAAACACAGACGACATACACGCCAGGGAATAGGCATACGTTCGATCAATTGAAAGGCGAAATACATATTCCAACTTTCCAAAGATATTAATTAGCTTTCGCGGTTCATCGAGCTGGTCTCCACAAGGTTTCCGGAATCGGCACATTTCACACGCAGCTACGCAATTTCGATGGGCGCGTGCGATTATACGCGTGATGGCTTGTTGGGATTTAATTGTTGCGTTCGAGAATTTATATGGTTTATTGATGCGCGCGTTGTTTGAAATGAGCGCGATTTGGCACATTTGAACGGATCTGAAAGGGGAAGTTGATATAAATGAATTTACAGACTGTCATTATTCATAATATTTTACTTGTGAATTAATAAAAAAAAATCATTAAATGCATTTAATTGACGGTTATAATTTATATTATAAACGAAACAAAATCTATGAAATAGACAATCTATAACTTGTTCAAAGTAGAAAGTACCTTGAACAAGTTATATTTACCGAAAACATTGATCCAAAGCTGATCGGTAAATACATAGATTGTGATTACATTTGATTTGCTAAATCGGGCTTTCAATTGATTCTGCTACTACGTTATAATCTAATAATCTACTGGGATATTACTGTTCTTGCGAAAATCAAAATCGACACCTATTGATGCGTTGTTCCAATTGGCATGTTGAGATATGGGGTTTGCAAACGCCAATTGCTAGTTAGTAACATGCGCAATCAATGTAATTAAATTTCGGAGTATCAATTGATCCTCTATTTATTCTCTATTTTTTATTCTTGATCTTTCATTATACTACTTTACCTTTCACATTATATAAATTAAGCAAATCCATTAAAAATTATATTTTATTAACAAAATCTGTTTCGATATCTTAATTATTCTTTATAACATATCAAAATAGAAGTAATGTATTTTTAATATATTATTTAATTTATCTTATAACATTAATTTATAATAATTTATAATAATTAATTAATATTTACGTATAATTATTTTATTTTGACTTACATTGGTAATATATAATAATTATATGACATTATGTGTTAATAATATTCAATTGTAATTTTATAATACACATACATAAGATTATAACAGGAAACTGGAAACATTTTACAAAGACGCCTCTGATAACAACTTATTAAGTTTGCTGACTGTTTAATTTTGATGAAACTATGCTGCATTAACGTTAGTAATACTGTCTCCCCCCCCCCCCCCTCTCTCTCTCTCTCTCTTTGCAAAATTTTCCCAATTATGCTCACAAAATAATGATTTCCTGCCGTTTATTTCATGGAATACCATAAGTAACTGGAATCATTGTTCAACCACAACAAAGGTTAATTATTCGGTAGTGCGCTTAATATATGCCATGAATCGGAATCATTTTGAACAGCGCGAACGGTAATTATTTAGCTTTATCTAAAATCAACGAAAATTATAAACAAAATTTCATTAAGCTATTCATACATTCTATTAAGATTGTGCATTTTACTTTAAATACTGAATAACCACCGTTCACTGTTGTCTTAATCTTAATTTACTCAAACACACTTTTTAATAATTTTTTCAGAATCTTTTTTCTTTACATATATTTTATCTAAAATAACGCAATTAATCCAGAAAATACTCGTAGGTATGCGATACAGTACGCGTGCCGAACAGCAATTTCGTTTCTACTTTTGTTTTTCGCATCTCGTTATTTGTTTCCGTGAAATGGCCGACTGCACGCAATACTGTGTCGCATAGATTTATTCAAAATTAGAAGATTATTCTGCAAAGAATGTTACGAAAGTTCAATTTGAGTCTAAATCTGTCTGACTATTTCGAAGATTTATGTGAAATAGATAACAAGAGAATACCAGAAAAGATAATTTTATAACTAATATATTAAAGCCCTGATTATAATGTTTTGTATAATTCCTATACAATATACTATTTGTTTGTTACCCATAAACTTTCATGGGTCTAATTTTAATTAAAACGAATATTTTTATATTATAAACAGATTTTTACTGTTGTGCTTGCTCGGTATGATTTAGTCGTGTCCGATACAGAAAGAATAAGTGAGGCACATCAGCTCATGGTGAAATTAAACAAAGTGTTGTAGAAAATGTGCAGTAGCAAAATAATGGCGTCTGCACATTTCGATCCTAAATGCGGTTAACATATAAATATAACGTTTAATTATGCGATTATATTTTTTCAATTTTTTAATTCTAATATTTGACATATTGTAATGAACAATTTAAAAATTTGACTGATTAGTATTTAGAACCAAATGACATTTAGGATTAATTAGCATTTAGGGCTAATTTTTGATGGGATGTACTGCCATATCATGCGCAATACAACGCCTTGACTAATTCCACCAAGCAACTCATAGCAAACAATCGTTGAAAGTTCGGAAGCGCGTCGTCTTACTCTTGGAGATCGCTTTATGACTCGATCCTAAGGATCAATTTTCGAGCAGAACACATTATTATATACATATCTATTTTATATTATAAAAATAAGCGAAAATGAGTTATTTTGTAAATGTAGTTAGATTCTATAATATAAACTTCGAAAATAACAAAATATTTGACTAGAAAATTAAATTTTCTGTAAATTCTTTAAGATGTACTTAAATTTAAAGAAGATGTGAAGATTTAAAGTAAAACAAAAAATGTAAAATCTAAAATATTGCGAGAGAGAGAGGGAGAGAGAGAGAAAAAGAGAGAGATTAGAAATGTATTAAAAGCCTCGAAATTAGGATGCGGAAGATTTTTATATTAAATTTACGAATATCTAAGAAACTATAACAAACTTATCGAAGACATTAAAATGTAGAATCTTCCATGTTTTTTAATGTGATCTATAATTGAAGTAATCTATGTTAATGTAAATCAACAAGGTCAAACATTATATAATTTCACACTTTGCATCGTAAAAGGAAGTAAATTGTAGCTTTGTATAGCAAAGCAGAGAGTAAAAGTTAATTAAAAAGCTATTAAAAGGAATAATTAAGTTCCCTTATATTATATTATAATATATATATATACATATGTGTGTGTGTATAATATCTTGAAATCTTTATACATATATCTGCATCAAATTTTTCTATAAAATTTTTTACGTATTTAATAATTTTATTAGAAAAATAATAATAATTCATATTTAGTTTGTTTTATTATTTATATATACATTATATATACATTATTGATTTACTATACATATAATATTATTGTTCATCTAGCAATACTTTTAATGTCTAAGAATTAAGATGTAAGAATACGAATAACATAAATTAATTTTGTGACTAGTATATCGTATAACGCAATAAATATTTTAAATAATTTTCTTTATAGTATTATTCTACAATTTTTTTCAATTTTCTTTACGCGTGTTTTGTAATTAAATACAACTTCTAAAATTCATTTTTCCATATCTTAATTAATCTGTATATTGTTTTTGCATTTGTATTATTATAGAATTGCATTATATACATCGCTTTTAATGATACTATTTGTTTGATAATATAAGTTAAATTATGCAATGTTTACAAAACAAAACAAAGAATAAATTTATATACCGATTAATATATAGATATTAATAAAATATAAATTTAGTTTAAAACTTTAATGAGTTAAAAATAAAAACAATTTATCATAAGAGAATAATTTTTAATCTTTCGAACGAATTATGCCGTTATTATAATAATTCTATGATGATTTCTTTTTTTTAAAATGTATATTAATATTCCACATCTATTACTATTAATTTTAATGTATTTGTTAATAATTATTCATACCTATTATTTTAATTTCTTTTCTAAATTTCTATTCTATATTTATTTCTTTATTATTAAAGATCTTTATTATAAATATGCGTTAGAGATCTAGTAAACCCCACTCATCATACTGTGGAAGTCTTTTGCACATTAATTTTTTATAACTTTCACTTTTAAGACCTGGATTTGAAAAACCATCGGTTATGAGCTCTCCTAAATCTTTCGCCTCAGTTTTACAACACAATACTATCGGCAAAACTGAGAAGGATGCTATCATCCCGTAGCTAGCTTTTCGTTTTAAGGCAGTCTTCAGTTCCTCCATAGTGGGCGGCTGCGTATTGCAGTTTAGTTGTTTCATAGTCATCGATAAAGTGCCAAGATATTCGTTTAATAAAATATCTTTCTTGTTTTCAATGACATCCGGTGAAGGACTTGTACTGAGAAAATAGAGAAGATCGAGTGCCGGCGATCCGTAGATACATAGTTGGAAGTCCACCTATAATATCAACAAACAAACTCTTTCGGTCGATCGATCTTTTGAGCCTTCGACAATTGAATTGGAAATAAAATCCATGCACTGGGAAAGAAGTGGGACTCGTGTTTAGGAAGTTGTGGCGAGAGAAAGTTGAGTTTGTGCAGACGACACGGGCAGACAGGTGGCGAATGTACCTGAATGCGATCGAACTGGATTTATTGCATTATTCATAACATACGCCGCTTCTTTGTCTTGACCGTTAAAGTCGATATTATGAATACTTAAAATGCATTAACATATATCGTGACAATGTATTTAAGAATATCGTCTATTTATTTTATTTATTTTGTTTCTTTTTAATAAACTTATATCATTGTAATCAATTATTAGAATTAATAAAAGTTCAGAAATGTAGCTAATTGAAACAAAGTACCTATGAGATATTGTATTTAAATTATGTTCTTATATGAGTTACATTTTTTAAATTAAAAAGACATATTTTTTAAATGAATACGCTGTTTTAACAATGTTAATCGTATCAGTATAAATTAAATTTCATGAATTATTTTATTTAATATTAAATCTTAATTGCAATATCAGTCCACGATTATAATAAATCAATAAATATTCGTGTTTAAAGGAATTATTATTTTTTTTATAACACAATAATACTTACAAAAATGTGATCAATAGGATTGCCATCATTGTCATATTTGAACAACATATTGTTCACCCAAACATCACCATGATTAATAACATTAAATTCATCATCAGAGAGCCTGGCTACATCTATTCCTATTTCATATATGCGATCGACAAGTTTAGCAATTTTATTTGCGTATCTAGCAACAAAAATCATATAAACATTGTATGAAATAAAAACAGCGCAATTTGTACTCATATTTGCTTTAATATGTTCACTCTTTTCGTATCAAACATTTATCTGATGCATATGAAATATTTTTTAGACGTCAAAGATACCAGAAGATTTGCGGATTATCGCCGTGCTTTTATCCATTGCTAATGCCTAATCTTTGGGCATTAGTAATGGATAAAAACACGGCGATAACTCGCAAACCGTCTGGTATCATTGAAGGTAATACCCGTAAAAGCCTAAAAGCATTAGTTTAGACATTAAGGAGAAAATAAATATTTCCATTTATGTATATAAATCTTACTTTTTCATTTCTGGCCAGGTTGCGACTTCATCTACTAGAGCTTTAACACTCATATTGAAAAAACCTCTCAATTCTGTTGGTTGCAGGCTGCTAAACATTCCTCTTGAATACATATCTTTTTGCTTTGGTTCCTAAATGTTAAAATATTTTTATTAAAAGACTATATTAATATTTATCCATTCGGTCATAAAGTTAAATAATTGAACTTGTAGTGTAGATTGGAAATTTGAAACGTTATACGGGTGAGGCTCTACAAATAATCTACGATCATAATTTTAATAATATGCAATTTCTTAACAAATTTAAAGCAGATTTTTTTTTTTAGAAAAAATTATAAAACGAACTATTATTTATTACAACTTCTTAATGTAAAATATTTTAATTTCAAGTTACGAGTTTTTAAATATAAAAAGATTTATTGCTTACAGTTACAATTGAGCATATAAATATCTCTTTAAGCTAAAAGTTTTTCCTTTTGGCTTAAAAAGTTTTTCCTTTTTAATTGCTTTAGTTTCAAAAGTATCTGATATATGTATGCGCGATATTTCAGTCAAGGAAAAGGCGATTTTTTTTATCAGAGAATAATTTGATATATTCGTTTTTTAGTAAATTGTTTTTCTTTTTTGTAAAGGACGCTTTTTCAAATTGTTTTCTTGGCTACACGCCGAGGCACGTGCCATAATAAAGGATAATAAAGGATATTAGACTTTGGTTAAAACGGTTATTCTACGCCAGGCATTTCTGCTGGATCACTCGCCGTACAGTTTCAAACTTCCATTCGACTACAAAATCGCTGCGGTTTATGGTAACCATTATGCCGCACGCATTATTACAATGCACGTATCTGTTGTATCAGAGTTTAGGACTCCAATGCACGATATTTGTCTTAAATGGTTTCAGTTACGTAACGATTGTTACGGGCATAATAATTTTTCCTTATCTTAACACACATCTGTTCGATCTCTTATAAATCTTCTATGACTAGTTATTATCATAAATAATTACTTAAGTTTTCACATGCATCGTTTACTGTAAAATAAATGGTTGCTTTTATCTTTCCATACATGTTATTTAAAATTAATTACATAAATCATAAAATAAGTATATAAGATTTATAGGCAGTTTTTGTATTTCTCTCTGCAAAAAATCTGTAACTTTACTGCAAATATAACCTGTCTTACATATTTTTTATCAATTGCATCTGGATTTATTTAGGACCAAAATTTATCATAAAAATATTTTTTATTTTTTTTAACAAAAGAGTTATTAAATGTATGATATTTTATTCTAAATAAATTAAGACAAAATACATAAATAAAACATGGTTAAAATTTGAAGCTAATTAAAATTCACTGTATTAAAATTAGGCGTTTCGTGAACATTACAGTTTACTTCATCAGGGCGAGGGGAGCAGCCTGATGCTGAAATAACAAACTGCTGACATTTTTCTTACTAGATGTATGTCATGTTTTTTAATAGATACTTCGAATAATACAGCATAAGAGATTATTGCACTGTGATGTTCATGCACTCGAAGTCGATATCCCATATATATATTTTTTACATTTGATATTAAGGATTTATTAATGCAAAAATCTGATTCGTGCCATTAAATTTTTAATAATTGTAATGAGACATTACAATTGATTGAGTCATGCGTAGTGATTTACCTTCTCGCATATGGCTACAGAGGCTGCATGAAACCTGGCTATTCCACGAATTGCCAATACGCAATGAGTTAGGTCAAGACCAGACAGACGACAGGCCATGCGAAAGCCGAGAGGCGCGAGATCTTCGATCGCCAAAAGCGTTGGATTTTCATTTTGTACGTATAGACCTTTCCCACTTAAGCGGTGTTTTGGATCTAACATCTTATTCATTTTATCCAAGGTATCTGACATCATTAATATTTCGGTTTGAAAGAGACCTGATTGCGCGATCTGTAACAAGTTTATTTAAAACTAACAAATGGAATTTTTTTAATTTAACAAGCATGCAATTATTTTTGTGATATAAAGATTTAACTAGAAAGTTGTGCGATAGAAAGTTTCGATTTCTAGAATAGCAAAAAAAAAAAGAGAATAATTTTATTCCACAAATGGAAAATTGTTGGAACAATTAAAGAACATTTTCTGTAAATATATTTATTTCTTTTGATTTGATTCATAAAAAGCATTGTATTTTTAGTCCAATTTTCCGAAAATAATTATCCTAATCTTTTTTTTTTAGTAATAATGAAATTTGCTACAGTTTGATTTTTCTCTCCTCCGCCTCTCTTTCTCTCTCTCTCTCTCTCTCTCAACATTTACATTGTATAAATTAAATCAATTTACAAGTTCCTGTCGAACACCATCGGCCGTAGGCAAGGCTTTAATGATGATTGATTTCTTCTCTGAAATCTTACGGCCACCCTGATCACGTGAAAATTCGACAGTAATCCTGATCATGTCGCTGGCATAGTTGTCACCTTTGCTCGTGGCCGGTTTCGAGAATATATCGGTCACTTCGATAGAATTGTCGCCTTCCGACTTTCGCAGGATCTTCTCCACGAAGCATAGATTCAGCCATGTCGGTGTCTCTAGGGCCATTTCTGAAATTGGAATTGGAATTGGAGAATTTCTCCGACAAATCATTGTTCTTCCCACCGTGTCACGAAACGCGAAAACGATTCTTTACGATAACTTATTGTTCGCGGCGAGATTTATCACGTTTTCTCTCTTTCTCTCTTTCCAGCCGCCTCCCTCCACTCATTCCGGCCTTTCTACCCTTTCCTTCATTCTCCTCCCGCCATTTTTTTCGACCGTTTTAACCTTATCGTTTCTCTCTTTGCGTCCGTCGATATTCAAGACGGACGCATTCCCCTACATTTGAGATCGCTGTTTCAATTAAGAGCGTAATGGGAAGCCGCTTTTTCCTTTTCCCTTTTTGGCCAATGGCATACGTACGTTCCGCGTTGAGATCCCGTCGAACGTGATCGAGTTGCGGTATTTGCGAGAAATTTACGACACGTCTGGCGCGCCGCGATCGCGTACGTACTTGTGGCCGAACGACGTCGGCCATATTTCACCTTGATGAGTTTTCTCAGAAATGTTTTCCGCAGTTTCCTTAGAATCAGATCTGTCCGTCATTAGACGGACATTTAATGACCAAACTTATAAGGAATATATTTTATTATTATACATATAATTTTAATAGTACATAAATAATTTATACACTGAGAAAGAAATATAGTTAATTTTAATATATATTTAGTTGAATATTGCCAACTATAAATATTTATTAAATATAAAGATTTATATTTATTTGGTGCAAGAACCATTCATTTGATTTAACGATCATTCTGTTTATTAAACAAATATTTATTTACTTACTAAATAAATCATTTACTTCATAAATAAATGTTTAGTTGGCAGTATTACCAAGTATTTACTAAAATCGATTATATTTTTTTTAAGTGTAGCAAAAAATATGAAAAAATTATATTTAAAATATTTTATAATTTATGTGACAGAGTTACTAATAAACAATGAAACTTTATTTTTTAATTTCGATTTTATATAAACTTTATTTTAATTTTAATATATATATCTTATTTGGCGATATATACTTCTTTTTAATCCAATTTCCACGTTACATAACTTTAACAAGCTAAAATTAATATTTGACGTTATGAAAACAACAAGATAAAATTTCGAAGCCGTTCACTCACGTAATAATTACTTAAACAAGTACGTAATCATATGTTATGCTTGCAAATATACTTGCAGTGAAGTCACTGTATTATTAAAAAAGATAAACATCATATTATGTGTTTCTTTATATCAAGGTTAAATTAATCAAAATTGTTGTATATTTTATATATTGTTATTATTTTATATATTATTTTTCATTTATATTTTAAATATAAAAACTTTTTAATTCCTTTACAACTTTTAATAATAGCCATCAGTCGGCTATGTCATATCATGAGATATAAATCTTCTTGATTATTTATTCTCTATTGCCATTATTTCATATATTTCGTTCTTCGTACGTCAGACTTCTTTTAAAACAGTGTTTAATTATATTTTTATTAAAACAGCGTGTAATTGTTCAAGTTTCATTGTCGTTTGACATTAAAAGTCGGCTTCAAGTATCAAGGCAACGATACACAAAAAGACTTAAACAAGATGTATGCGAAGCAAATAAACATTTTGGTTTTGCTGCTGTTTATGTTATTGCCTTACGTTTTTTGTATGTCATAGATCCAAAAATTTTTTTGTAAATTTTAGAACCAAAAATGAAAATTTGTAACCATGTCTAAAGTTTTCTGATGTATATCAAGCAGATAAAACATTATTTTAAAAAGTCAAATTTTATGTTTCTAAGAGCTATCATCGAAAAGAGACATAAAAAATGTTTTAAACGAATTTTTGCACTAAACTTTTAATATAACGATCTTAAAACAACTTTGTCTTATAATGCACGAAATCGTAAGTAACATTATGTCACTGCGTGAATGCGTTTATTAATTATTATTAATGTTACGTTTCTATACGAGTATCTCGGAATATCGTCTCAAAACTTCGTCTCATTTAAAATAATATTTCCTAGGTTAGCGTATGTCATCTGTTTTTTCTTCTCTTGTCTCGTCTCGTCTCTTTTTGAAAAAATCGGAGAAATCCATGTCAGTTGCGATTAAAATGCTGTCTCAGTCTATAAATGAATGTTTTAAATAAATGGAACGCGATAATCTCGAACGTCTCGAGATAAAAGTTTCAGAATCGGAAGCGAGAATGGCTGCGTTCGGAAACATCATCCGGGTGCACCCGCGTGTATCATCTTATCCTTGTTTAACATTGGATGAATAACAAGGATAAAACGATACACTCGGGTGATGTTTCCAAACACAGTCTATATCAGTCCCTCGAGATGAGAAAATTTTATCAATCATTTGTTTTTGTTGAGAATAAATCGCGGTATTGATGTTTTTTCGTTTCGCCTTGATCTAATTCTATAATGCATCATTAATTGTTATGTGCATAATTAATTTCTTATTTTTCGAATAAATCTTAACATCAAATTAATGTTTGATTTATTGATCAATTTTTGTAAATACAATTTTAATAAATATGTTATTATTATGTGTAAAAATTATATCACGCTTGTATTTGTTATTCTCTTACATAACATATGTAAATAAATATCTCATATACATATGTATATACATATATGTATATAAATATTTCAATGCGTTTTCTTATTAAAAAGCGCAATAGTTTGTATTGTATTGAAAAATTAAAACAATGTTTGTTATGACTAATATTCTTTAATTTAAGAATTATAAAGGAAAAGTTATTTGTGCTAATAAAATGGCTTTACAATACTTGAAATTTCTACATTATTCTATTTAAAAATAGAAGATTATTTAAAGATATAGAAAATTAGTTATACGGCTCTAAAAGTGTAAACGAAATATGCAAGTGTTTTCTAAGAACTTACAATCATTCGTAATATTCGCGTGTCGCTTGTAATGTTTGTGCATTACGTGATGTTTGTGACTTAAATTTTTTTCCTGTCAAGAACGCAACTTGTGCAGATTATGCGGATTATACTTAAAATTTTCCACTGTGATGTAATATTTTGTGACATTTTATAAAATCGATTTTTTATTATAGCAATTATAGTAATTTTTTAAATTATAGTTCAATTATGTAATGATCGAATTTAATAAGAACCTTTTTATTTATATGTTTCACACACGTATACATTGGCAAGTTGATTTCATATTTTTAAAGTGCAAAATATATTAACTTTATTTCACTATAATGTTACACAGTACAATATTTATCAAGACTTTATTTAAAATTTTCATTAATAAACTCCTATTGAATATTAATATCAAGAGAACAAAGTGTTGATAATCTCGACACACTGACCTGTAAATTATTTGTTTTCGATTTTATTTCACTTAAATGCTCACTTCACTGCTACGTTTCGTAAAGTCAGCTGCAAAATGAAACACGCAGAACAGAAGTGACAGGCTTTATATTGACACCAGTGCATTCTTTTATACTCTGAAATGAAATTGTAGGTCTATGTATGGTTTCACTATAAATGACGACCATCACGAACACGACATCTAATGATCTGCTTGGTCGCTATTTATATCGCTGGACTTCCTGATTCATTCTGAATCTTCGGTAACTGAGACTTAGTGAACGTTAAACTCAAGTCGATTTGTCCTTCAATAAAGCAATAGACACTAACCTAATCGAGGTAGCAGCAATGATAAAGACGATAGCACCAGTGAGATCACGAACAGTGAATGCGACAAGCAGCTGGCTACATGCATTTATTATCTCGATAGTGAGACAAGAGAGGGGCTTGTTTCATTAAGAAGAAAACTGACAAACATTGAAGAAAATTATAAATGAATGTTTAGTGTACTTTGCACAGTCAGTATATAATGTATTGAACAAGAAAGATATCAGAAAAATGCTGCATAAAATTCATCAGATTTTAAAGATTCATAATTTTCAAAATTAATTCATGCATTATTCGTCGGTGCCCATAATGCTGCCATCCTAAACTCGAATAATTTTTCCGAACGGTGAGAATATAGTAGAATTATTCACGAAGGTCGTTTATCATAAGCGTTATCTCAGGATATGAAATTCATATGTGATATTTAAGGGAAAAAAATCTTCACGGATTTTATTCTGCATCAATACATGCATCTCGGTTAATGTATCTATAGTATTCTTTTATTGAGAAGATAAAGTGAAACAGTATCAATGTATTTATAATTAAGAATGGATTGTTCCACGTTTCGGTAATTTCAGCTCATTTACTTATTCTTTTAATCTCTATGCTCTTATTTTTTACTCTTTCGTTTATTCAGTAGATAAATTATCATACAGTTTGTATGAGTATACCGAAGATGGAACAACCGGCCTTAAAAGGGCAAGTTCTTAATATATTTAATAATTGCTTATTACATTTTTGCATATATATGTATTCATTTATTATAACACTGTATTCTGAATATTCATTGTTCTTTTTTAAACTATTTTCTTTGATTTCATGACTAATGACAAATTTCTTCGCCTCTAGATAACTTTATTCAAAAAATATCTCCCAGAATACAATGGAGATATCTCTTAGATAAGGTTATCAGCAACTTATCCAGAAGTGAAGAAATCGGGCATAAGTTAAATAAGAGCTAGTATGAGATAATTTGATCACTTAATTTATAGAAAAGGTTGTATTTCTACCTATATGGCAACTATATGTATAAACACACGCTCTTATGTAATAAATTGCATATTATATTTATGTTTGCATATTATACTTGTTTGCATATTTTTGTGATATGTACACTTTTCTTCAACATTTTTTCACTTGACTTATATTTTACTATTACAATCATTATATCTCAGATTTTAATAATTATTAAGCTAAGCTTATCCTAATATGATAATTCGTAAGAGTTCTCACGCGTGATACACAGAGAAAAAGGTTTCTTTGGATTTAGTATTCCTATTTTTTTTTTGACTAAAATTTGTTTTATTGAAACAACATATGCTTGTACGAAATATTATTTGTTTGAATAAAAATTTTGTTGTTTCATTCGAGAGAAATCTCTATTGCTTGACAGAAATAACATTATTATTTGAAGTAATATTTTTCAATTAAATAATATATTATTTGGTTACAATTAATACCAACAATGAAACAAATTGTTTATTTAAAAATGGCAAAATATATTCATAGAAGTTAGGTTATTCCAAGCAAATAATTGCTTTCTTAGAATAATCATTACATTTTTTGACCGAAAATATGGAAACAATGGCTTATAAGTTTAACAACAGGAAACGAGCAGTGCTGTGTGCTATATCAATTATGTTTGTGCCGTACAGTTGATCACGCGATACTGAAAATAGATATTATCTATTCAAACAAATAATGTGTTTAAGACAAAGATATACATTGTTTCAAATTCAAACAATCGCACTTGTTGATTCGAACATTGGTTTGTTTGGACCATTCCAAATAACAAATTTATTTGAATACAATAAAATTTATTACATCCAAAGAAATCTTTTTCTCTGTGTAGTTATATCGCGCATGCAAGAATATCATCATTATGTTACGATATGATGAAGACACACATGCGAGTTTAAACTTAACTTGTACTGTAGAATTACATGTGACGAGGACGCCCAGAAAATACTTCATGAGGATTCATTTTATCCTGATGATCACTCCATGTATAAAAGCATCATACTAGTGATGTGTACTTCGCTTCACAATGAAGGCATATACGTGTATATCATCGTATACGATTAAATATATATATATATATATATATATATATATATATATTATATTTTTTACTCGATTGAGACTAATATTGCTCACATGCATGAGGATACATATCACTTGCACATGTGAATCCGCGCGCGTGCGAGTTATATGATCCTCATACAAATAAGAACATCTGTCTAGTGATATGAGGTCACTCCGTGCGAAATCTACATGACGTGCGCGCACCGTGAGATCATGGTGCTGGGATATTATCCATGGGAAAGCCTATATTATCCTATCCAAAGGTTCATATGAGCACTGTGTGGATAGGAGCACCCTCCATCATTTCAAAATTTGCATTAAAATAATCCACTTCAGTACCAAAATACATACAATATCAACGACCCTATCAAATAATAGAAACAAGATTTTTTATTTTTCAGTATACAAGAAATATCAAAATATTTTCTTATAATATCCAATTTTATGTCTTATTATATAATTTTATAATAGAGTATATACGAAAGCAATTTAAAATTATAATAGAATCGCGATGTAAGAAGTTTATGACGTTAACTACTGTGAGAATTTCTGGTACGTAATTTTAAGTGCGTGAAACACGCATGTTACTAATTGTAAGAAATAGATCGTGTAATTAGAATGTAATATAATAAAAGAAAACAAAATAAAAAAACAGTAGGCTTTACAGAATTTGCACTATAAGTACGTAATTATTATGACAATAATATATAATTTGATAAGATTTATGTCTATTAATCCTATAATACAGACGTTTCGACTATTTTTAGCTTCAATATATTACAGAATAGTCTCAGAATAAAGTTAGAATAGAGTTATTTTTAACTAAATGATATAGATACATTGTAACGCGTCATTAGTAATATAAAAAGGACTGTAATATGTAAAGTTAATTAACTACTTTGCACGCAAATGATGAATAAGCAAACGATCTGCATTTTATAATATGCAATCTCCAGAATCTTTACGTAACAGAGGATATTTTTCCTTCAAGAATTCGCACGAATTGTTCCCTCAGAAAGTTAATTGGCATGATTTTAAAATGTCATGCAGTAAACATTACGACATCCATGCAAGTCATCGTTACCTGTACTTAATCTCCATCTTGATACAATTTCTATCATTTTATACAATTTGCTAGCGCAACATAGCATTGAAGTGATAAAAAAACTTTATATCATGCTGTAATAAAAAATATATTTTTATTTATTTTCATATGATTTTATTATTATACAACATAATGCCCGGAGTGGCACTCTTACATCCTGAACGGTACAACAGTATAAATTTGAATATTATGTTATGATATTTTAATGTACTATTTTTTTGACAAATTTAATCAATAACTAGTTGTAAATTCAATATAAATTAAAATTATAATTAATTCTAATATAATTGTAAATGTTACATTAAAAAAATATCAAAATATAATATATTGGGATAATATTATATTAAACAATCATATAAATATATAACGATAATTATCATATTGAACAGACATCTGTTTGTCTTATATTAATTGAGTTTTATTTATTAAAAGTTCTTATAAAGAAATTAATATAATTTTATAGTTATTTAAATTTGTTATACAAATATATATTGTAATTGAGTTATTTCTTTAAAATGAAAAAAGAACTTTATATATTGATAAATAAATAGATTTTTGAAAATAAATATTTATGAATTTACAACTGTGGTAATAAAATTATATCAGATTTATTATAAAATAAGAGATCAATTTATTAATATCTTATTTTTATATGATTGGTATTAGTATCAGCAGTTATTCCCTAATAATTTCAATTCGTCAAACTTCTATGATAAAGCAGGCAATTGAACGAAATTCCTGTTCGCATTTCGTAAGTCGATCGATAACGATGAATTTTTAACTATTTAATTAATTCTCGGACAGAGCCGATAAGTATCACTATTCGATTGAATCGTTAATGGCCATGACTAAAATTATATACTCGCATGCAATTCTGAAATATCGACACTGCATTCACAGTCCGTGCGATTTATTTATATGAACCGATTAAACGAAATGGACCGCTCGTCGATAGTTTTCAATTACATTATTCAGCGATCACGTGCGTTGCGCGAAACACATCGACCAGCGTAGCTGTCCAAAATTCTAATTGCGTGCAATATTGCACGCACGGTCATATGTGCGGGCGGAATAGGAAAATGACAGGAATTTCAGGCATGTTCGCGCAAATTAGAAATTGCGATGTGCAGCTGCAACCTATCAAATGTACAACTTAGTTTTGGTATAGCATTTTCGATAATTATAAGTTTTAATACAAATTAATTATATGATCCTCAAATTAATGATACTTTTAAGTCATAATTACTCCAATTAAGTATTGATATATGACAATTGATTATATTATTTAGTAATTGATTGATATTTTGTAGTAATTGATTATATTATAGAGTAATTGATTGTACTTTGCACAATTATATAATATTGCAACATATATGCATAGTATCGCGAAATTAAAAATATCATGGGTTTTAATAAAGATTATTCAACAAAATTACAAATATCGATATAAAGATATTAGAGAGTTACGGAATGAAAACTAAATATAATATTTACACAGACTAAGATATTACTATTACGTACGTAAAATAGTTTCGACACATAGTGCAAGCAAAGCTTGTTATTCAACACACTCCGCCGTTGAAAAATGATATGAGATATTCGTTCTACATGAATTTGCAAGCTGATTTATCTAATGATTATTTGACTATCCGTGATTAAATGATGGTACTATTTGATGCCAAGGAGATATAAATTGTGTCTATCATAGTGAAGGACAAATGGATAAACGTGCAAAATGGTCTAACGGTCGAATTTATATTCATGCAGATATTCTTGTCAATGGAGTTTAAATTACTACAAAAATTGATAGCGTTTATAAGTATTTGCCTTTTTATCAATAATTTTACGAATAA